GGAGTCTCGCTCTGTCATCCAGGGTGGAGTGCAGTGGCGTGATCTCAGCTCACTGTAACCTCTGCCTCCTGGGTTCAAGTGATTCTCCTGCCTCAGCCTCTCGAGTAGCTGGGATTACAGACATGCACCACCACACCCGGCGAGTTTTCATATTTTTAGTAGAGACAGGGTTTCACTATGTTGGGCAGAGTGGTCTCAAACTCCTGACCTCAGGTGATCCACCTCTCTCAGCCTTCCGAAGTGCTGGAATTACAGGCGTAAGCCACCACATCCAGCCGACACTGAAGTATTTTAAATGGGGTGGTGATAAAATCAGATTATCCCATGCCTGCCAAGTAGAGAATTCTGCAACTGCCGTTGAACCAGACTGACTGCATGACAGAACACCAATGAAGAGGCTAATCCTCTTACTTAGAGAAGACCCGGTTAGGGTATGGGCCATGGGATGGATAGAAGTAGATATCCTTGAGGATATTGAAATAAGGATTGAAATAAGGTTTGGTGATTTAACATAAGTGTGTGAGGAAGACAAAGATTAAAATAATGATTCCTAGGTTAATGGTTGGGACAAAATGAGCTCTAATAAGTTGTCATGTTTGGTTTTGTGGGATTTTAAAAAGTCTGCATACTTAAAGAAATGGAGGCATTACTTTTTGTGTAAAGCATTATGTATCATTTAGAATTTAGAAATCTGAAGGAAAGAGAGAGAATTTAGGAAAACATAATCTGGTTTACTACAAACAGTATTGTCTTGAAATATAAGGTAGCCTTTTTACAAAAATGTGTGCAAATAAACTTTTTGTCATAGGGGATTTAAAAACTGCCATCCATGCTCTTGGAATAAACCTCTTGTCGATTCACCAAGATACACTCCAGCTTCAGGTCATTTTAATCATAAAGTAGGTAAAGTGGAATAGATTTAATTTAATTCAGTTCAGCATGACTTCCGAGCAATTCACTATGATATAATATGTTATATTGAACACACAGTTTACGTAGTCCAAAGGAAAAAAGTATGAGACACAAGATGAAGGTTTCAGTTTGGGTTCCACAGTTAACTGGTTAACTAGGCCTAAGGATCCCCTAAGATGGAGGCAGCATGATCACAATGCTTGTAACTTCCTGTTTACTTCTCAGCTAGCTGTGAGTTTCTACTATGAATGACTATTTGAGTGTATATGTATATATGCAAATATATGTATATATACACACACATAATGTTACATGGCAACTCAAATTTTCCTAGATATTTCACATAAATTAGGTTCTTTGTATTTGTCTTTTTTTTTTTTTCCATCTTGTATCTTAATTTCTATTTACTCATAAAAATATTTCTTTGTTGGGTAGAAAATGTGGTATTTTTCTTCTTAGGACTTTTTCTCTCTGAACCTGATGCTGATGAAACATGAAGGCATCAGGGCTCCCTACTGAGTCTGGCCCCTCCCAGAGTGTTCACTGCCTTGCTGAGCCCATGCTTATATTAACAGATTATCCTTGGTTCCCACACACATCTGCAGGTTACAAGGAATTTAGGAATAAGTATAAGGAAATTAGGCAAGTATGATAAATATTTGATGTCCCACGTGATCCTCCAAAAGTAATTCTTAAGTTCCTTTGTCATTTCTAGTGTAGGAAAAGATCCTTCTTCATCATAAACAGAATGACATAAAGTCTCAGTAATTTTTTTTTTTTACCTTTTCCCCAACCTTTCCTAGCCATAGGGGAATAATACATTTTGCCTTTTAGAAACTGATTGCCCAGTGGTAAATTATCCCCAACCTCTGATTCTCCTCTTTTAATTTTTCTACTCTTTGCCCTCGATATTTGATGTCCACTGGTATTTATATATCAAGTGGATGGATGAAATTAAAACAAATTTTATTTCATATTTTTAAAAAGGTTTACTCTGGCAGCAATTTTTACTGCCAATTTAAAGGACATTTAGAAATTATTTGTATGTGTTATTCATACTATCAATGTCCCATTAGCTTATATTGTTGAAAATCTGCTGCATCACCAAGAGATAAAAAAAAATACAACCCTGCATGCACAAAAATAATGACCATTCATTACCCCTTGACCAGCACACATTTTCACTGAGGCTCTGTTTTCAAGGTTAATTTGAGGATAGATGGAAAAATGCTTTAAAGCGCTGGAATTTTCTATGGCAATCAAAAATCAAAGAGGTTAAGTCTGGGTGATATAACAATAGGTTTCAGTTAAAAGGTTTACTTGCTTGAAATACTGACCTCTCAGTCATCCCTGACATCTTCATGAGGGAAGGTTTCATTGATTTTACATGCCAACAACTCATTAGGAATATAGCATAAGGAAAATAAATTGCAAAGTCAAAAAGTTGAGCAAGGTAAGTAAACGCTGTAGCAAACTCAATGCAAGTTCCCCAATTTATTGTTTTCTGTACCTTTTTCAAGTAACTAAGTCATTCAGTGGAATATAAAGTAAAGGATGAAGGCATGACCTGGAGTGGCCACGTGGGTATTGATTGAGAACAATAACACGACACCAGATTAGTCTAGTGCTCAAATGTGTAAACATTTTAGGGTTATGGTAGTTTTTATGTAGCAATCATATTGATATATGATATATTTTTCCTAGAAATAAGCTGCTAAAACAGAAATTTAAGATTCTGATATAATTAGAAGATATTATTCAGGTAGATGTATGGTTATAGACAAGAAAAACTTTTATAAAATATTCTGAATACAAGTAGAACTTATTTGTAATAATATAAGCTATACTTGTCAATCAAATTCCTACAGTATTTGTCATTTGGAGATACTAATGATAATAAGATGCACTGCACTTCAGTCTTTAAAATATAATTGGATATTGTGAGATATTAATAGTGAGCACAGACTGGAAGAGATTGGCAAAAATCAGATATATTGCCCTTATCAAAAATACAGGCAAGCAAAGGGCGCAAAGCAGAAAAAGTAGGAGACATTCTGCATGGCTCCCCAGGTTCTTTCTTCCCACACTGGAAATGCTGATTCTGTCTCCAAGGAGGGTTTCATAGGTTTACTTCTCATCACAGGGAGGATTTACATTATGAAACATTTCCATTTTTACCCTAAAAAACGTAAAGCTTCAGGACATTTTCTGAGGAGCCACAAACCGTTAATCCATAGATCTTGGGTTTATTTACTACAGTATTTCTTTAGCCTGGGATATCCTGCTAAGGGATTTCCCACCTAGTAAATATTACTAGTCTATTTACCTGGAGTTCCAGTTGTCAGGGAAATTAGACCCAACCTTCATCCTCGGTTGCTGCCCTGTCCACACACCAGGGAAAGGAATGAATACATTCTAGACCAGCTACTTTTAACTTTTTTCTCCCCAAGCTAACCAATGAAATGTAACTGAGTTGACATTTGCAACAATATTTTCCAAAGCCATCTAAATATTTAAGCATATAATACTTTTTGGCAAACCCAGTGAATTTTCATTAAAAAACAAGATTATGCCAACTTGTGAACTAAAAATCCTTCAGAAATAAAGAATTAAGTAACAGTGGAAGTAATGATGATAATAATAATAGTATTTAAGCTCTCACCACATGTCAAGAACTTTTCAGTATTCTGTACATGAATTATAAGAATCAGAATAATCTTCTAATGTAGGCACTATTATTTTCCCATTTAACAGATCTAGTGATTGAGGCATAAATGAAATGGCTTAGCCTGGTTTACACAGCTAGTAGGTCCTGAAGCCATTCGTGAAACCCAGGAAGTGTGACCTATCTTCTTGACTGCTAAATCGTATATGAAAAGAGTATTGACATATCAAATGCACTACGATTTTTATTAATAAAACTAGATAATAGTTTGGCTGATTAGGGAATAATAGTGAAGAATTAATTTTGTTGATTATTACTGTTATAAAAATACAATAGATTAAATATTAAAATTAGTGATTCAAGTAGGAAAACATCAATCAAAAATAGTTTGTTGAATTCATCATGAACTTTGCATCAGGTGATTGGGCTACAAGGCACAGATGGAGTAGAAGGAAAAGCAAGCAGCATAATATTAATACCAGACGGAAAAGTCTGGAAACAGAGTTGCAGGTTATGTCAAGTGAGATATATTTAAATACCAACATCTTAGAGGTGATAATTAAAACAATTTACAAAACTGAGATCATTTGTTTTCTAAATAAATGTCATTACCAGGCCAAAATTTTAAGTTAGACATATTTTAGCATTGAAGTGACTGGGAGTGTGATTTTCATTGGTAAAATCCTAAATAATATGAAGGCTGATAAACTAAACTGAGAAAAGAATGATAAACAAGAAAGAGAGAAGTATGACCTACATTGCAATCTGTTGGATAAATGAACATCTGTCATGTTGAATGAAAGATGAAGCTTGGAATTCCCAGTGAATCTCAACAGCCAGCACTACCCGTTAAGAGCAAAAACAGATTTCAAGCCTAATTTAGCTTTCTTTTATTTTTGATTTGGAAAATATATTTAAAGAAGGTGCAAAATTATAAGCCTCTAATAATCTAGAAACCATGGATTTTAAGATCCCCAGGTATAATTTTAGATCAAATTTGAATGGAATTGTGCTAGAACAAAGAAGATTGTTGATATCTATCTTAAACAGATTTTATGCGCTACAGAAACATCTTGTTTTCTGACTAATGGATCCATTCAAGTCACAAGGTATGGTGGCAAAAACTTGAGCATGAAATTTAGTCTGAGCTCTAACATGGTTTCATTTTAAGAAGTCAGTTGACTTTTGGGGTCTAAATTTCTGTTTTCATGAAAAATAGATGAGGTTGGATTAAGGAATTTCCAAAGTTAGTTCAACTAGACTCCTGTTTATGCTGTGTACCTATTTTAAAAAGCAGTCTGTTAAAATTGCATACTTTAAGTATTATTTCATAGATAGAAGTAGAGTTCCTAGAACTTCCTTTTATGTTTATTTATTTTTTTTACTTCTGAAATTTTACATCAGTATCTGTTCTCTCCTTTAGGGTGGAGTTAGTGGGTTGACTGGAGAGCTAGAATTTGGAGAAAATGGAGGCAATCCCAATGTCCATTTTGAAATCCTTGGAACCAACTATGGAGAAGAGCTTGGCAGAGGTGTTCGCAAAGTAAGATAAGACATGCTGATTAATATGCTTTTTCCTGTACTATGGTTTTGCTTGATTGTTTTCCATGCAATACGATCACAGTACCCATTAAAGTCAATATTGTAGTTTGAAAGAGAAAGCAGGGTTGGGGGGAAATTAGGCATTGAAATGACTTTAAATATTTATTTACCAGAAGTATTAAGCAAGAAATTCAATTTCTGACTTAGAATAATGTAAAGGAAAAAAAGTAATCTGAATCTTGTCTAGGGAAATAGCATCATCTTTCATTTGTTATAATAGTAATTTTTATAAAATAGTAAATTTAATATTTATACAATTTGTAGCTGCTTGATTTTTAACTTGCAACATGTATAAAATGAGAATAAGAGCTTGGATAAATTTCATATAGTAAGACAGAAAGTCTACTGCAAGATGTGACATTGCAGTATCTTACCTTCTGTGTGTGTCATGTAATATGAAGAAAATAGTTTGCAGAAAATGAACTCTCGTTCATTTTCTATTACAGCCAGGATTCTCAACACTCTCATATGCTTCTCTCTGATTACAGTCAGACCATCCTTATCCATAGTGTAATATTTAGACTGATTTTTATGATGCTAATTTATGTGCATTTAAAATATATTTTTATCACCTGTGTTTACATCGGTATATAATTGTTTTGTCAATGTCTTAACTTATGAATGGTCTCAAGAATGCATATATCCTTTTTTTCTTGCTTCTTGTGTTCAACAGTGTGTTTATGTTATTGATCCTTGTTACTTGGAGTGGCAGTTTATTCATTTATATTGCTGTATTGTTTTCTATTGTATGGATGTGTCCCAAACCACTACAGTTTCCATTTTTAGACTGCTGTAAGCTGCTGTTACAAAAATTCTTGGATATACATCTTGGATACTTTTATGCTTGTAGGTGTATTTCTGTAGATTTTGTATCCAGAGGTAGAACTGCTGCAATACAAGAAACCATATCTTGAACTTTACCAGATAACATCAAACCCATTTTCATAGTAATTTACTAATTTACATACCACCAGCAATGCAGGCATTGCCCCACCTTCTAATCAAGTCTTGAATGTGTAAGACTTAAAATTGTATTAACTTATTGGGTGTATATAATGATATATCCTCATGATTCCCATTTACATTTCCCTGATTATGAAAATGTCTGCATCTTTTCCTACATATTTAGGGTCTTCAGATGTTTCTGAGTTAATTGCTTATTTACTTTTTTTTTGGCTATTTTTTGGAGGGGGTGTCTTTTGCTTTTTCTAATTGATTCTAGAAGTTATGTATATATTCTGAATTTGAGTGTTTTATCATTTAATTTTTTGCCAGTTTTGTTTTCCTCTCTGTGGATTTTATTTCAATGCCATTTATAGTATCTTTAAATTTAGAAGAGCTATGAATTTTCATCCTTATTATTATTGCTCTTCAGTATTATCTAAGAAATTACTCCCTATCCCCCAGAGTCATGAAGATATTATGCTCAATTATGTTCCAGGGGTTTTATAGTTTTGCCTTTCAAGTTAATGTCTTTTATCTATCTAGAAGATTTCTATATATATGAGGTGAGAAAAAAGTAAAATTTTACTCTTCAATACTCTTCATTTGTTTTATTGAGATATAATTGAAGTGCACAGTGACTTACAGTAATCGCATTCACCAGTTTAACCACTAACAAGGTCAAGTTACAGAATGTTTCTGTCACTCAGAAAGTGCAATTATTCCTGTTTTTATTCTGAGAAGCACCGACAGTTTGCTTGGTCTGAAAGTTTATATAAATGCATAATTAGTATTTACACATTTGTGTCTTTTTTCTCTCAACATTTAAGGTACATTCTTATTTTCATGTGTCAATAATTTTGCTCGTTTGTCTTTTAATTTATATTGCTGAGTGGTATTATAGTCTATGAATGTAATATGGTATCTTCTAAAATGTCATTTTCTGTTTGCTGCTGTGTATACAAATAATATCGATACTTTATATTGATGTTATATCCAGCACTCTTGCTCAGACCTCTAATTCTGATAATTTATCTGTAGATTCTCATGAATTTTCTGCAAATTGTCTTGTCATTTGCAATTAATAAGAGTTTTTGTCTCTTCTTTTGTTATTTTACACCTTCTAGGGATGATGTTGAATGGAAATAACAATAGTAGGTATTTTTGGATCGTTATCAATCTCAGAGAAAAAACATTCAACACTATACCACTATACTACTATATATTTATATATTTATAATTAACTTAGATCAGTTTAAGGAAGCTCCAGACATTCCTGGGATATTTTTATATAGAATTATTTATACATATATAAAATTATAATTATGCTTATGTTTACATAATATTATTTGATTTGCTACCACCTTGCATAAGGGTTTTATATTGATACTTATGAATGAGGTCTCCTAAAGCTGTCCTTTCTGTTGGATTTTGATGCTAAGGTATGCTGGCCTAATTTAAATGAGCTAGTAAGGTGAAGCATCCAGAATCGTGTCTAGTACATCACAAGAAGTTGTGGTTAATTTTCATTAATGAGTGAAATTTCAGTAGAGGAGTAATGCCATATGTTTAAATAGCAACACTAGAAAAGTTTAAAAAAAAAGTGAATATTTTGGGTAGTAATTAAATGGCTTTGTGGAGTTTTTGGGAGAGATCTTTTACAGTGTAAGAGATTTGGGTATATTTGAATGCTCACAGACCAAGCCAGTAGTGAAGAAGAAAATGAAGATATAGGAAAGAAAGGTGGTCATTGATAGAGAAACAGTAGAGGAAAAGAGAGGATTGGATCAAGAATTAGACGGAGTTCTTAACTGTAGGCACCGGGGAACATCATTTTCCAGAGTGCTGAGGGGTGGGAGTAAGAAAAGAATGCTGTGCTTGCAAGCAAGTCTTTATGTTTGATGTTAGGAAGTTAAGACAATTGTTAAGAAATAGTCTTTTCTTGGAGAAGTAGGAGGCAAGATTATCTTCTAATTGGGAAAATGTAGCAGAAGGCATTGGCAATAGTGAGACTGGAGGTTTAACGACAGTGGAGAAGTTTCGAAAGAGCTGCTGTGGCAAACAGGAGAGGTGACTAGGGAATATTGAAGAAATGCCAGGCAGGGCTGTTGGCTCACATGAGGCTAGAGATCAAGAAATCACTGTGGTACTAATCTATACAGTTGCGGATGTTTGTCCACCAGCATTGAGCAGACTGAATAAATTTAAATTAATATAGACTTAACGCTTCATCGGGTTATTTTTGTTTTGGGTTGTGTTGCTTTGTGTTTGATAGCAGTACAATGAGGCAGTGAGGTTAAGAACGTTGACAAGGCGATGGTTGAAGTGACAAAGCATAAAATCTAAACTGAACATGAATGGCAATGAAGAAAGAGAGAGTCTCTATAATAGAAACAAAGTACGGCTAAGAGGTTACTGTGTCTTCAGCACATCTGAAGAGCTTGTATATTAATATGGATGAAGTGAGAGAGCTTCAGAGCCAGAAATTATGGTTGGGGAGAGAGATAACTGAATTCATAATCCTAAGGCTGAGTAGGTTCTAGGCACTCATCATGGGATGTTTGTGAGGGTGGCAGAGGAGAGCTTCATTTAGCCTTCTAAAATCAGTGCCATTTAACCAAGTTCTGAGGTCAATATAGCTGCTTCAACCTGCTCTGAATTCAGAGTCCATAACGGTTAAATCTCTGCTATTAAAATGATAGTGAATCATACACATTAGATTACGTCTACTTTGTCTTTAAGTAATAACTCCTGTAATTATTTCATTGTTAATATTCCTATGCCCCAACTCCCAAACTGGACTGAAACGCTCCTGTGAGCGGGCACTATAGAGGTATTGTGAAAGGCACTATAAATATTTACTCTATGGTGCCTTGTATACCTTTGACACTTGAAAATTTTTTTGCATTGTTTTAAAAATTTAAGCATTCTTAATTTTGAAATTTTCATTTTTATAACTCAATTATTTTTCTACTAAGCTGCAATTTAATTACTAATTTTTTAAAAAACTCCAGATCTAGTGCTCAAGTAATTTTAAAAGTATTATGGACTATTTCGTAGCTTGCCAGCTCATTTCATAAATGAGGCAGTTCCTTTGCATAGCTATTAACACATATAATAATGTGTTCAAAGATACTTATCAAGGGAAAATAACATCACACAAATAATTGCAGTATAGATTTACTAGATGTGTGTCCAAAATGAAGGTTCCACTCCAAGTTTCTCCATGTCTCAAAAGGAGTGAATGGTTTTCCAGTTGACGAACTGTCAAGTTGTCAGTGTTGATTCTGCTGCCAGTGGCTCAGTGTATACAAAGCCTGCAGCCTTATCACCTCAAGCAGAGGTACTGTCAGGTCTCATAAACTAAACGGGGTTGTGTCTGCTCAGGGTTTGAATGTGTGGTGTACCAAGGATTCATAGTCCCAACTTTTGGGCTAGTCTCTGCTCTCTTGGCACTGTATGAATGATGGTTTCATTTTTTTTGAATTTGGTGAGAATGTGCAAGGGATTATTTAATTCTCACTGATGTTCATCTAAATTAAGGACTTTCTTACTTTGATAATTTTTACATGTTCTTTTTCTTTGTCATAAGGTGGTACTTATTTAGTAGATGGTATATCAACATGTTAGCACATTGTATATACCCTTGAAGATAAATTCAGGTAAAACTCAAAGTCAAATTTTGAAATTGTTAAGGTTTTCTATACCCATAAATTTTGCCCAAGAATGTGGTTATTTCTGTTTCTGTTAATCACTATATAGAATTTCTAAAAAAAAAAATTTGAGTAAAAGTTATTATAAGAAGACACGAAAAGTAAAGATTAAAGTAAATAACTCTACATTTAAGGAATCAATACATGTTTTTCATTAGAAGAGTTTTACGTAATGTTGTTTGCTTATTTGTCAGATTTTTCTTTGTTTTGTTAAGTTTGCCAGTGCTGCTCAC